CAGTTACTAATATACCGGGCCTCGTCAATTTCATGAAAAGATACATCCATATATACGTCGTCTCTTTCGCCTCCTGATGTTTTTCGATTGGGGTCACTTCAATGAATTAATTAAAGCTAATTACCACATAAACATTAATCACGCTGTTGCGTTATTTCCTAGAATGTATTGAGATATGCTTATAAATTTTTGCTTAACAGCTCTATTTGTTTGTTTCCTAATGTTAATAGGTGTAAACGTTTTTATTAGGTGATGGGAAACAATTTATCAAACGTGGTTTACGAAACATAATTTGAAAATCAGGATTCTCCTGTTACAATTCACAGATACCTAGTGTAAATAGAATAACAATTCATTTATCGCAAATTTTCTAAATTTTTTATATTATTGATTATATTTATAGTATATTTATATTGGTTACATTTATATTGTTTATATTATATTTATAGTATTGGGTTATATTAGTGGTTACAATTGATATTTCAATCGATATTCTGGTATCATTAGTTTTGACACATTAAAATAATAACTATCACGTCATTCAATTGGATTACAACGTATTTTGACACACACACACACACACACATATATATATATATATATATATATATATATATATATATATATATATATATACGTATATATATTTGATAAAAGGTAAATTTTACAATAATTAATACAATACTCCTACGCATTCTCACCGACATGTACACACGCACGATATTTGATAAAATATATTTGATAAAAGGTAAATTTTACAATAATTAATACAATACTCCTACGCATTCTCACCGACATGTACACACGCACTGTTTCATTACTATATTACTTTAAATGAGATACTTTAAAGCTAAACATATTATTAATAAAATAATATTTATTATTCCATTGAATTTCTTTAATAATTTCGAATTGATTTGATATTTAATTACATGTAAGTTAGATCTTCGGCAAAATCATAAATATCTGAATAATTGTAATATGATAATGTAATTTATAAGAAATTTCACTGTATAGTAAAACAATTGAAAATTTCAATAAATATTGACATTTCAATGAATAACAGGATATTAATAAATATATCTATTGAATTATATTAGATATTTGATTAATGAGTAACTTTTTATTATAAAATGATATTGATTATCGCAGTTATTTGATTACAATAATTTCTATAATTGGTAGTAATTATAAATGTTCATTAAGTATTACTTACCAATAAATTGCGCGGTGACGTAAATAGTGGCTGTCTGAAAATAAAAGATACTTCTGACGAATGAAAGATAAGTCTGATGTAAAAGATACTTCAAATAAAAAAATAAAGGAAAAAAGAAAGAGGCGTAAGTAGGAAGTACGAAGCTTTTCAAATAATACTGGAGCGTCGGATAAAGAGAGCTAGAAAATACGAAAAAGTAATATTTCAATCGGCGAAAAGCTGCTCATGAAAATGATAACTCGAAACATCCATTATTTTATGAAGACGACAATCCCCCCCCCCAGCCCCCTCCCCTAGTCACTTCACCAATCCCCTCACGAATGCTTCAATCGACTCGCAAAGGTCAAGCACCGACGTTATCACTATATATCGATCGAGAGACGATAGAGCAGGAAAAGAGAAGCGAATGATTTATAAAAACAGATCCGCGCTGTCCACGAATCTCGAAATCTCCGTCGCGAAATATCCGCGCATTAACGGATCGTCGGGCTTGTCAGTTTCCAGAAGTTTGCACTCTCGTGGCAACGGTTATGGCATTCTGCCGATGACGCGAATCTTTGTCTCGTCGTCGAGCTGACG